CCCCCCCTTGTCCCCCCTTGCTCCTCTCGCCCCAGGAGCCCACCGAGCCCTTCTGTCCGGTGTCCGTACTGTCCCACAGGCGTGTCGGGGAGGCTCCTGTGTGGATTTGCGCATCAGTTCCCTTCCCCCCGCCGGCCCCAGGGCTTCACGCCGTGCGGTGCCTGACCCGATGCCTGCGGAGACCCCCGAGGAGAGCTTGAAGCGCCTCGGCGCAGGTCATCGAACGGACTCCCGCAGGGTCTGCAAGACCTTCCAACCAAGGACTAAACGAGAGCGACGCCAGACTCAGATTACTTCAGCGCTTTAACCCGCGGCACCGCAGCCAGCGTCTGAGGAGCGCCCGGGCCAGCATGGGGCATGGGTCCATGTTGAGGCACTCTGTGCGTTGGGGCGACACACGGTCCCCAGCACCGAGCGCTCAAAGAAGGCACGAAGAGGGAGATCACCTTCGAGACGGGTCGGGGCTGCGTCTGCGAGGGGGACGCCCCGAGGCTCCATTGCCGCTCCCGCGCACCATCGGTACAGGTCGAGTCCCGCGCAGGCGAGTAGCCCTGAGGGGTCCCACAGCCGTCAACCCCGGATTTGTTTCTGGCGGCCCGGGAATAGATTGAACTTACATCTTCCCTGGGCCCGACGCTGTGTGGTGCGGAGGGGCCAGGAGCGACAGGGACAGGATGGTGCCACTTCCTCCTCTACCGGTGTGGAAGTCTGGTCCGGCACCGTCTGTAGTGATGGCACAGAGGAACCGGGGCTGGTACAGAGTGCAGCCCTCCCGGCACCGATGCTTTCAGCACCGGAGCGTGTGACTGCCCCCTTCGGCACCGGCACCGGCGCACCGAGGGAAACCGGCAGCCATGCCACACCACTGCCAGCACTGGGAGCAGGCAGCTTCTGCAGCACTGCCGTGGTCCACATCCGAGTGCTCCTCAGTCGCACATGGAGTTGATGACATCTAGGGCATCTTCAGACGGCTCCTCAAAGTGACGCTGGTCAAGGTCTCCGCACCGGTCCCAGCACTGATCCTGCTCGCAGTGCCACTCAAGGAAGGCCAGTCTGTCTCCATCACAGACTCGGCCCCCACAGTGACAGCTGCCTGCCCAATGGCCTTTTTGGATCCTCTGGCCATATCATCAGACCCAGGGGCACGGACCCTCGGGGTTGGCCTTGGGGCTTAGGGCTGCACCTTCGGCCACCCCACTCATGCGGGTTCCACTGTCGGAGTCCAGGGCCAGTCCTTCGGGGTCAGCAGGGAACCCCTCTGCCCCTTCCCCCTGCCCTCCTCAGCCCCCTTGAAGTGCCCCATGCTCAGCCCTTTCTCCAGCCCCTCCTCCCCTGCCTCCTGCTCAGACCCCTCATGTCTGTTTTTCATAAGAACTAGGTAGTTCTTTGCATCCATGCAGCCAAAGGTGCTGCCTCCCTTTTGGGTATATCAAGATTCTCTCCCCTTCCCCCTCCCTTCGCCCCAAGGCCGGCGAAGAGCAGAGCTGGCTTCTAGGCATTGCAGGGGCCAAAAGGAGCCAAGCTC